ACACGAACTTTATGGACACCTGATATAGATAGATAGATAGATAGATAGATAGATAGATAGATAGATAGATAGATAGATAGATAGATAGATTGAATACTAAAGTTTACACGGAGTTACGTCGGTCTGTTTTATGCTTAAACGCAACCTCATACGTATTTAGTAGTAATTCGACTATTTATATATGCTAGTCGTTGGGAGATTATGGGTAACAAAGTTATTTTTGGTTTATTGCTTTAATCTCACGGCGATTTGATATATATTGGGGTGTGTGTCTAATACACATCTGCTTCACGATCTTCCGACTCCTCCAATTTAACTTTTTTCAAAAAATTTTTTTTATAGTTTAAACTTAATTTATATTCATTTTTACTGTGAACGACTTACTTTGGAAATAGAATTACGTCGTCCCCACCGGATGATGAACCACCAGCCACCTGAGTTCTTATTTCATCTGATTTATTATATATATAATTTATTATATATATAATAAAGATGTTATGATTTAGCAGAGCAAAACATATTTTTGATTCCTCTGCTTCCTTTGACGTTGAAACTTTACTCGTCTTCTCATTTTCCTTTCATGGCGTCACACTTGTGCCTGTAAAATGGTTTTTCTTTTCTATTCCCCCTTCTTTTCATGTTTACCACTGAGCTGTAATTACTTACATACCCTTTTTTTGCAAATTAATTGAAAGAACCGCTTTAGTTTCCTTTCTTTCACCATACGGTCAGTTTTAGACCCACTTGAGTCATTTGTAGTGGTGTGCAGTAAAATGAATCTATTTTCGGCTTGTATGATGAAATTTGTTTGGCCTTGAAAAATATTGCGTCATCCGTTATTGCATCAAATTTTTATAACGCCCAGAAACTATTGTCTCGACTGTCGATTAGTTACCCTACGGCTAATGTCTGTAATGGACGTTACTCTAAGGAAGCGTACGAAAATTTTAACGCAGCACGAGCATGCTGGCAAGCGTTACCAGCGAGCAAATCAAAATACTATAGACTGACCCGGAAATTCTCCTGATTTAAATCTAATCGAGAATTTGCGGTCAATCTGCAAGGAAAGACTTCTTGGAATGGACATACGGAGTACTAATATATACATTGGTTGATGTTCCATTGGGAAAATACAAAAAAAAACAGTAAATAATAACAGAATTATTCGTTTCGTTTCAATTTGCACAAGGGTGTGTATTTTAGAATCACAATGGATGTTTAGGGAGTACAGGGTAAGGAATAAGTAATTTCTTTTTATACTTTTTAACTTATATTGAGCAAAAATAAATTACTGCAGTATAAGAACATTTATAACTATTTTATTGTTTCTAAGCGTTGATTAGATGTGCACACGAGGTCCAAATTATTTGGCATTCAGTAAGATTTTGTTTGGTTTGTTTTACGGCATATCAACATCTCAATGGGTCATTTAATGCCGACCACTTATTTTTTTCCTGGTTATATTTTTGTTTTGTCAAAAATCTATTTCTGTTAATATTTTTTCCTCAAAAATGTATAGCTGGTAATATTTTTTCAAAAACGTATAGCCTTCAACACTATTCTTTCAAAAACGTATAGCTGGTAATATTATTTTTCCAAAAATGTATTATCAGAGGCCTTGCTGTTGGACGTAGTTTATCGCCATACCCAGGACACGGGTGTAGTTTCATCGTCATACCCAGGACGCGGATGTAGTTTAGTAAGAATTGAACTCACTAAGTCGTAATAGTTCTAGCGAGACAAGCTTGACAACCATTACATCGCGTCGAAGTACCCCATTACCATTTGTTATGCTTAACAAACTATATAACATGTTCAAAATGCTCATGTTCGATACAAAGCTGAACCCTATCAGAAAAACTTATACAAATCATATGACAAATTTCTACATTAATTTCAGAAATTACTTATTTTAAGTCAGGAATTGTTTTCGGTTTGAACCTGTGGAGGTTGTGTTAATAGATTAAATTATATTGATCAAAAATTGTTGAGTACATTAGGCTGCGTGATGAAATTAACAATTTCCTCTCACATTAAATTTTAGTGTTCAACAAACATAAAATAAGGACAACATGAGAAACAACAGTTTTTGCACAACAATGAATAAAATATTTATATAAACAGAGATACAAACAAGTGGAGTAAAAAAGTAATTTTAAAAAGTTCAAACGTCCTTTTATGTTTAAATGAAAAAGTTATCAAAGTTCTGGTTTGATAGATTATAATTTGTTGAATGGTCTGTACAATAATGAGAAAGTGTGTTTTGGTATTATAGTAATTTAAGAAAAAAATAAACAGTTCAAGCTTGTATTTGAAATAGAGAAATATTGTTTACGACTTACTTTAAGGTTTACGGAATTGTCGCCCTTTGATTTGTTTTCACTTGTTCGAAGAGAATATTCTAGTTGCGGTAAGTGGTTCTTAACAAGCTGTGTTTATGTTAATTGCAATAATTAACGTTGAGCTTGAAAGCGTATGAAAAAGATTCGTGTATTTAGTTGAATGTGAAAAATTTGAGTTGATTTTTCGTCATAAAATATTGCTGTGTGAATGATTGTTCTCTCAGGCTGGAATCATGTTAAGCAACTTTAACGTAAAGCCTGGAAATGTGTGACGAGTTCAAAGGATTCCGATCGGCGCAATGTCGAAGATGAAAGACGTTTCATATTTTATTGCTAACTTTGGTCACGTGATAGGATCACAGAAGCTTGATAGATTTTGGCGGAATTATCTTTTTGGTCAGGTCAAGAACTAGGTCGATGTTATTAAATATTAAGTGACCCATTAGAAGTTGAGATTTCCTGAAAATATACATTAAGCTGTATAAGCTCTGTGATCCACTTTTTGTACGAAAATTGATATTGATATTCGGGCATGATTTAAATATTAAGTGGCCAATCAGAAGTTGAGATTTTCTGAAAATATTTATTAAGCTGAATAAGCTCTGTGATCCACTTTTTGTACAAAAATTGATGTTGATAAAAAGGTAGTAGCGGGATGCTAAAAAAATTTAAACACGATCTTTCATTACAGCTCACAAAAAAAATCGTCTGGTTTTGTTAGGGATGGTGATTGCGATGTTCACTCCATTCCTCCATGTTGTTCTTTCCACCTCATTTCGAAAAAACGGTGTTACTTTTGCCGCACTCTGTATAACTGTTATCGGCGTGGAAATAGGAATTGGTAGGCCAGGTTCAAATTCAAACCACGGCGAAGAACCTTGGAACAACATTAACCCGTTTCTTCTACTCCATACCAAACTGAATTAAATAGAAAGGCGTGGTGAAGCTATGATCCTATGCTCCACAGGTGAATCAACAGGGTTAGCCTGACATGTGTATTATAATATCATTTTTTACTTTTTTTTTTTTTTCATGCGTGGATTATTTTGTTGTTATCGTAACATACAAAAAAAAGGCACATTGTAGCGAGATTTTTGTTTGGACAGTGACATTAAAATACTCTAATCTGAAGAATGAAGCAATTTACCAACTAATAATTATAGTGTGTGTTTTCTTCTGTTTGGGTTCACACCTATGAAAACGACTAGAGTTTTGAATGTTTGTTTGTGTTTCCTACAAAGCCTGAAAAGAAAATCATAAAAACATTAAAAGGAGAAAAAAAATGAAAAGATTATGAATTGATAAAAACGACAGCATTTTAAGAAAAAAAAGTAGAAATATTTTTACATAAAAATGTGTTCTATCACAGTTAACATTTGTTTTCATTGTCCTCTTCAATCATGAAGATTTCCACACTAATTTTTTCTAAGTTGTAAAGATGAATATTGAAAATTCATTTAACACTCGCCTCCTGCTGGTTAGGGATTAGTAGAAGAACAAGCAAAGTTAACTTTAAATGCTAGATGTACTTTGGATTTGGATCATTACAAAGACATTCCCTTATTTCGTTATCTATGTATGATATTATCATATATATATATATATATATATATATATATATATATATATATATATATATTCTATAAATAAGAAATAATTTGACATAAACTTCCTTATATTGCTTTTATCTATTTTGCTGGAAATTTAATCAAATAGACTAACGTACAACTCTTTTAGGCTACACGTTTCCTGCCTGCTTTCTACCCCGTCAAATATGTTCCCTTACAACACTGCATCCTGAAATTGCATCAGCAGAAAAAAGAGTTTCTTTTTCAATTTATTTTTGAACCTTCTCAAAGGATCAGCATTGATAGTCGCTGATCTTCTTTCTTTTATGTGTCCCATCAGAACTTAGGCGATCATGGCCCTCTACATCTTCCTGTCCCTTGTAGCCCTTAATAAGTTTTGTCTTTATGTTATTTCTCTCAAACCCTGATTTAGTATCCATTTATTCAAGCTTTTCATTTATGTTACGCGCTGCTTTTCTCTGTCCGTCTTTCTCTCAATCTGTCCTGTGAGTATCAGATTTTCCAAGCTCTCTTTCCTTATTATTTGCCCCCAAAATTTCAACTGTCGCTTCATTATGTTACGTATTAGTTTCCTTTTTGTTTCCATTTTCTCTAAAACCTCGTCGTTAATCACACGTTCGGTCCATGGTAGCCTCAGTATATTTCTGTAGAAGCACATTTATCTTCGACTCTTTTTTTCATCTGTCAGTTGATTGTCTAAGAGGTTACTCATCTAAGTATTGATCAGGTTTGACGTTGCTTAACTTCAGTGATCGTGCAGGAACTGTTGTTTCAGCGTGATATAGTCGTAAGCCTCTACTCTTTCGCTACTGTATTTACTTTCGCTAGATTCGGTCAATGTCGATTTTTATTATTATTCTATGTGCCACGACCCTTCAGGACATGAAGATAATAATGGTTTAGTGATACAAATCTTAATAATTAACCCATAGCTGAGGGGAGAAAAGTTGGTTTCCTACCTTTCCCAATGTTATTTGCGCTTAAGTCGTTATAACGAACCCGACGGGAATTAGAACTCCGATTAATAATCCCAAGCCATTATCCATTGCGCCACCCACACATTCAACCTTGTAGTACCTGACATTCCCAAGCTGTCACCCATCAAGATACTGACCAGGCTCGATGTTGCTTAACTTCGGTGATTGTAAGAGAACCAGTGATTCAATATGATATGGCCATAAGGCTAAATTTAAGATAGTAAAGCAGAAAGCTAAATAAAAATAGAATCCACTATAATAATAAATGCAAAGGCTTAACTCTATGGTAACGTATCCCCTACTCCATGAATTACTTTTTAACGCATGATCGAACAAGAATACATATGCTTATTAGTTGAATTACACAGCAAATCACAGACATAAAACTAGCCAGATGCCCCCCCCCTCCAAAAAAAAAAGATTTTCTAAATGACAGCTTGTTTGGTCGTCTGGCTAAGAATAAAAGAAAAATTAAATGTGGGACGGACAAGTTTGGTTAATAACATAGCTAAGAATATTTAAAGCGACTGCGTCTGATGGGCGGAAATGGGTTACTCAAAGGAGACGTATTCACGGAAAAGGAGCTAAACTCAACAGGTCCACTTAAATGGGGGCGACTTCAGCGGCCATTTATTTCGCATATATTTAATCTCACACATAGCCAGGAAAGGAAAAGGAAGGTAAACCGGGTACTAGGATGAGGTTCAATTAGATATCAACAGATAGAAATATAGATAGCTATGAATTGATAGAAAGAAAAAGATAGATAGATATGAACAGATAGATACATAAGAGTAGATAGATAGATAGATAGATAGATAGATAGATAGATAGATAGATATGAACAGATGGATAGACAGATAGATATGAACAGATAGATATGAATAGATAGACATGAATAGATAGATATGAATAGATAGATAGATACATATGAACAGATATGAAGAGATAGACAGATTGCTATGAACGAAAGATAGAAAGAAAAATAGATATAGATAGATAGATAGATAGATAGATAGATAGATAGAAAGATAGATAGATAGATAGATAGATAGATAGATAGATAGATAGATAGGAGCAGTCATATTTTGTCAGGATTCACGCGCTCAAAATCGCATTTTTGTTTGTCTTTATTCACTGTGTTAGCAAAACAAAGATTTTGCGAATGCCATCTGTCACAACATATTTTTATTTAACAGAATTGAACAAATCACAAAAGTATGGAAACCAATAGAAAACACTTATTACCCGCAACACATTCTCGTTGTTGATTGATTCAATTTCTATTATGTCTTCTGATGCTTCTGATATGTGCTCCTGATATGTGTCTAAAGATTCTTGACAAAAAGAATCTGTAATGTTATCGGTCATGATCTGGCAGTTCGAATTCAATCACTTTGCAAACGCCGTAACCTAGATTCCTTGTCCATGTTCCATAAATATTTTCATGGGCAATAATTCCAATCAGCTCTCCTCTTTGGGATCTAAACTTCATGAATTTAAGCATAGGACTAGATTGGCAACCCGATCTCATCATTCTACTGTTGAAAATATTAAGTGCAACCTTAAGTTCTTTTATAATATTTTATACTGTCGCACGTCCGGCTTTTGGAGACTTTTGAAACCTAATTGTTTTCCTTCAATTATGATTTTCAAAAAACGCAACGTCAATTTGACTTTTTTTAATGCTTTTCCTGTATTGACCTTTCTCGTTAATAACGTTTTCTCTTCTTTTTTTTCACTTTAGTAACCCCTTATGTCTTAGTGGCTTTATCGCCTTGCTTGGAGTAGAGTTATTAAAATAAAATTAATTTTTACACGTACTTATTTTTTTCCGTATTTCTGTAGAAGTCATTATTTCACTTGCATTCTTCATTTGACAATATACTTAGCATCTGCCGTTGGATATTCCACGCATCTCATTGCATTCTAATAAAAAGAGCACCAGCATTTGCTACCATTTTTTATGTTACTATGCTCTTCAAAAATTTAGAAGCGACGTCAATCATCACCTTCTGTCTCCTTTAATCATGTTTCCTTCATTTTTCTTTCTCCCCAGCAACGTTTTTCAGTTGTCTTCACTTTCAACAACACCTTGCGTCGTAGCGGCTATATCGCCTTGCTTTGGATAAAATGTTGTTTCTCCTATGCATTACGTGTACAATTCTCTCTCCTTACCGTCAAAGAAATATGTTCGAAAACACCAAGTAGATGCCTGATGCCGCAAATAGTAACGAACCTTATGTAAAGTAGATCCCCTTATCCATGAAGTTGCGTTTCAAGACGTTTCGGATACCTGAAACCGAAGATACCAGACCTTATATGTCTATCTTGTCAGTCGCAGTCGAGACGATAGGGATTGAGCACACTATGATCAATTCGCTGGCTGAATTCTTTTTACATTATTCGGACTATTGTCCTCATCTTTGTTGCCATATTTATTAAGTTCCGGCCGTTGTACGCTCCGGCCTTCTTCAGAGGGTTGGAATGTTGAACAGAACCCTTTATTTCACTCAACGAGGTAGACTGTTCTAGTTCCACGTGCCATGTCTAATGGGTGTCAGTTATCAGTTATCTCCTGTTAATTCCTCT